CTGAGATAAAAGTAAACTTGAAATATAAATATTTAATGTTTTATTAAAATAAAAAATAAAACAATTAAATCAGACTATCCTTATTTAGAATTAATTTGACAACACTATCTAGTATTGCCCTTTTTAATTAATTGTAGTTGTTAGAAAAACCGTGTTGTATTATCACGAAAAGCATTTTAGTATTTGATAATTATATTTTAAAAAAAAAATTATCTATTGTAAAATTACTAATTGGACACATTATTATTTAAAATTAAATTAATTATTAATTTAATATATAATTTATGGAAAAAGATTTAGAAATTTTATTAAATTATTTAAGAATTTAATAATTTTGAATAAGATGACTTTTGTATGCCATTTAAAAAAGTGGGAAAGGATAATTTTATCAAATGCATAAGTTACAAAAAAAATTCTGTAAATATGTATAAAAAGTATTATAAGCAATGTTGTTAAATTAAGTCTTAGTAAGTGAGACAATTAAATAAGAAAATTGGTCCCAAATCTTTAATTTAAAGATAAAATAAAAAAAACTATTACTATTTTGAAACAAATGGAGTAAATGACATATACTAAGATAAATAAAATATTATTAATTATAAATAATTGCATTTGAATTTTTTTCTACTTAATTCAAGGACTTAATTAAAATATTTTTCAAAGTTTGAAAGCAAAAAGATAATTTTTCCTTTTATTTTGGTTCTACATGACATGAGCTTCAGTTAACTAAGAAACAAGGATGGCTGAAGTATAGACTAAAATAATACAAAAATGACGGTTTTTAAATTTAAACCATTTAAAAAGAAAATTAAGTTTGGATGCTAAAATAAAATTGAGTTAATAATTATTAGATTATTTATTAAATTTAACTCATTCTTTTGCATGTTGCTTAAAGCACAAGCTAACGCAACATAAAAAAAAAAATAAAAAGAAGAGAGGTTAAGGCAGCTTAAGGTTTCTCTTGACGCTTGTCAATTTGGTCAAATAGAAAAAGAAAAATAAATTGAACCATTGGGAGCAGCGGCTCTAAAAATCATCCAATTGTCATGTAGCGTTTGGTACTAACTGGTGTTTAACTTTGCCTGGACTAGGCATATCAATATTCTTGATAAAATTTAAGGTGAAATAGGAACTAATTCACCAAATTCAGATTTGCAACCTTAAACCACAAAACCCTCGCTCACTAAACCCCACAAATTAAACAATAAACAAAATTCAAGATTTAATTCATATGAACTACAAGAAAGATTAAAAAGAAAATTACCCTAGCATACAAAATGAAAAACCCAGAATCGAAAACAGAT